TGTGCAACCTGCACAAACACAAGCTCACCATGATTACAAATGGTGAAATGCAATGTAAAATTACCGAAAAAATACCAGCTCACTAAATCACAACCGCTCAAACCAACTACAAACTACTACTGCGGATTGGGCAGAGAACGAGTCCGAGAAAGTTAACTCCCCCATGTGACGTAATATGACGCGTTTGACGTTAAAAAAAAAGCAGTTTTTAGTAGCAGAGCTCAAAACGGCTCCTTTTGCTCTGAATTCCTGCCCTTATGTCTTGTAAAACATATCAAATCCTGCATTAACATTTTTAATTGTAATTTTCAGGCAAGGTTAAGCATAAATGTAGTAAAAAAACAAACCTGCAAGTTGCTCTTTAAGTCCAGGCCACAGTTCACAGTGCTGGAGATAGAAGTGGTTCATTAATCACCAACTAGCAGATTAGGCGCTACATGAAAGGCTGGAGCGTATCATTTCTATCTGTATTAGTTAACAGTTGGCAAACAGGAAACATGTAAGTGAATTTTGCCCTGCAACAACAAAAATATTCTGAGGTTCAGTTGATGGACAGAAATGGATAAATCTTTTCAACATGTGATTATACAGTACAATCAATTTAAGGTTTCCTATTAATTACTATATTGTCAACAAACACATACAACACTAACAGATTCACATTTCCAATTATTATATTTATAATTAAAAATGTCTTCACCGGATGTCTTACTACCGGTGAAGACATCTTGCTTAGATGTTTGTTGAGTAACCTAAAAGTAATCTAATTAGTAGTATAACTAATTACTTTCAACAATGGGTGTTTCAGTAAAGTACAGCATTCAATGTTTTTAATAGTAACTACTGTAGTAATGTGTATTGCATTAATTATTTTGAGTAACTACCCCAACATTGATGATGACCACCTGAAGATCTTTGAGAAGTGTTGTGGTCATGAAGGCTTTTCCTCCTACTCAAGCAGCTCTACCGCAGCATATTACATTACATGTCACTTATTAGAAGCTTTCATCCGAAGCGACTTACAGATAACCTACAAGGCAAGCTGTATATATAGTCGGTCAACAGTAAGTCAACCAGAAATACAGAATCCTGCAGAGTGGTGATGGACCAAATATGATGATCAGTGGCAGATATTCTGTACCAGACTTCCACCTATTGTTGAGAGCTGTCAGCAGCTAACCAAGTGTTGAATGGCCCTAAAGGGATGAACATGGAAATGTGGGTGCTTGTAACCACTTGTGAAAGAGTATTACTGCTATCTGCAATACTATTAGTTACCTACTTTATTATAATACAACTAATGTGTGCTTTTCTTCTATATATTAATATGTTTATCTTATTCTGTGTCATGCATCCGTTTTTTTTTAGCTGCTATGCCACTTTAGCTGTAACAAACGTAAATGTCCCCGCTGTGGGACTAATAAAGGATTTCTGATTCTGGTATGAGCCAGTTGAGGTGTTGCACGGGGTGTCTGAACTTGGACACACCTTGCATTTTCTCTTATATGTAGCTGAATGCTGTTGAAACGGTACATTCAGAGGGTGTGATGAACATTGAGACTGCCGTGACAAGCTGGTTGATGGAAAATGAGTTTATTTTGATACAATTAGTTATGAGAAACATTAATAAGAGAAGATTGAGATGTTGCACATGGGTGTCTGAACTTGGACACAGATTACATTTGCCTCTTATTACAAATGCTGTTGTAATGGTACATTCATAGTGTGAAAAACATGACAATAAATGTAGTATTTTGTGAACTTGTGTACCTGTTTTACTTTAAGAAAGTCAGGCGAATACCTGTCAGAATGGTATTTTCACACTATGGGGGTGTTTCTCAATCTCGAGTAAAGCTGCTCCAGAGCCACTATTTCAAGCATACTACGTCTACGAGTGCCGCCGAAGTACTTTTCCAATGTCCAGCATACTTGGAATTCTACCGAGCCCAGTGTACTTCGTTTGGAGAAATTGCGAGGCTGCACATGGGTCGACTCCGGAGTCTTAAAATCCCCACAATGCTTTGCGTACGGACCAATATCCCCAAATCTGTGGCGGAAAATGTAAGGCGGGGCCTATCATATGACGCACACCTGCACACTTGCTCGCCTGTTCCACTCTCCGTTTTCCGAATGCCAGGAAGTATTCTTGCCTCGCTTCTGACGCTCGGAAGACATGTGCTACCAAGCAAGTGTACTAGCGATTGAGAAACACCCTGGGAATTGGATAACATCAGTCCAGTTGGAAGGAAGTGGCATAAAATAGCATTTATTTAATCAGATAACAGATATGTGAACATCAACAAAGAAATTAGTGAGTTGACACGTATACCATGGTTTGTGAGCTTCAATTCATAATGAATTTTAATTGTGTTACGCATATGTATCACAGTTCACAAAGGGTAAACAACACACAAGTTCCAGGCCAATCGTTACACAGAGTTTTCAACACAGAAGTGATTTAGCCAATCAGAATGCAGATCCTGCAGCACTGGAGGCAGGCTTTACTGCACTCGCAAAGTGACAGGGAAGGGAGAGATCTGCTTCTGAACGGCAGATAATAACTCAGATAAAACCGTAATAACTCAATATAATGCTGTCAACCCTAAACGTTAACACTTTGCATTTGTAGGTAGGTGTGTGAGTGTGAGAGAAGGCCTGCTCACGGAAAGCTGGTACTGACACAGGACTCCTGCTGTCCATGCTTACATGGCCAATTACCTTGACATATCTCTTGGCCAACACAAAATGAAGGTTTTCGTGCTTCCGTCTGTTCCACCCCATTGCATGGACAGTCAACATGTCATTCCGAGCTGTTTTTAAAAGTAAAATTGACAAGGAGACAATATAACTTGGGTATTTGGAAATCAACTCATAACAACTCTAGTACTGTTAAAACAGACTACATCAAAGACAAAGATAAATTATCAGAAACAAAGTACTTCTCAAAGTAAGAGATGGATAATAACTTCAAGACAGAATTATGTTGGTCTAATGACAAGAAGACATACCTGATTTTGTCATGTACTTAGTTGTGATGGCACAACGTGACAGAAAGCTGTTCACCATCTCCACTTCTTCCCCGGCCGTCAAACCAGCACCCTCCAAATTTCTCCCACTCCACACAATCTAACAAATACACATATATTATATGTCATAGATTAATTCAAAAAAGTTCTTACAATCACAATAATATAAGAGTAGGCCTACCTCACACTTTGTGGAATGGGTCTTGGCATGCATGACTGAGAGAAACGGTTGCATGCTCAGCAAAGGTCGCAGTTCTGGCATTGTCTTGGGCGGTATTTACAAGCAATATCTGTGCAATAAAAATGCACGTTTGTAGCTTGAAACTGCGTTTGAAGGAACAAGGGGTCGGCAAATATTTCTCCTCTGAACATATTGAGAGCTTTCAGTAGCACTCCATGTCTACATACAGCCACCTCTAGCCCCTCTTCAGCAAGCCTGCTGGCTCTTCTTGCAGTCTCTCGAGCAGCTGACCACTGGCTGGTGCCACATATACCTTTTCCTGGGGTCTACAATTAAAGACATTTTAATGTTACACTCTCAAAACAAGTAAAGGCTAG